ACAACAATGCTGTGGAAAACAATGGCTGGATCTCAGTAGAGATGCAAAAATGATAAGCAACAGCTAAAAAGTAAACGTAAGTAAACAACCAGAAATATATATATATATATATATATAATGGTTTACATCATTTATTCTCCTTATCGTTGCCTAATTTCAAAGCATAGAGAGTGTTTGAATTATTAAGCCTACTACGGTACTGATTTCGTTATACTGTATCTGTTTTCCATAAACGAATGAACGTGTTACTGTTATGTGCCTACACATACTACTATATCCCCAAAAGACAGAGTATAAAATAACCTACCACATACCTACTGAAATTGAGTCGGTTCGATCAACATATTAATGGTTATGTATATAGGCTTATTCATAGAAGATGGTAAAAACCTATCTCATTACTAGAAAATAATTAAAAACATAAAACAATCATTTTCAGACGACCATGTCACAGAATTATTTTCCCTATGGTAATGGGGTTATTCACATTCGTTTTTTAGAGCTATCCCTGATATCAAACTTTCAAGTTGTTTTATACTCATTGATTCTCTGTGGCCTAATTTATGTGAACTATTTTAATTGACGAGCGATAGCTTCACTCCTTCGTCGTTATACCATTTCCTCTTAATTAGGTAGATCAGCTAAATAGTTCGGTACGGTATTATAACATATCATATAAACATTACACCATAATAGCAATTTAAATATTTGTTAAGACTATGAATACCGTACGAACACACAGTTCGTGATCCGGTGTCAACACAAACCGAAGATTGGACCCTTTTCGATGAAGGGACGACATTACGTACCATTGTACTATGTATCCATGATAAACTGTGGGCCAATTAATAAAACACTGAATGTATAATATGGGTAGGCCGTCAATAGGCCTACAATTTCTGGAAGGGGATTGATGTACATACCAGTAGGCCTACTTACCGGTAATAAAATTCGCGTAAGAGGAGTAGGAAATCATTGGACAAACCATGCGCGCAAAATAATTACTTTTTTAGTTGAGTTTCATTATCCTATTGCGTTACCTCTGTAACATTCGATACAAATTGTAACTGGGTAATTTATAACACCAGCAACCGAAGCTATTAATCATACGGTATTGATATGGGTTTATCAGAAATACATCCTGATTTATTGGAAGAGGTTGTAAACGTTGGCGTACCAGAGGCTTAAATCTTGACTCAGGGAAATCGCAACCTTTTGATGGAAATCAATCGCGAATTAGCATATAACAAGTTTTAAACTCCTGAATTACCGTAGTTGACTTTAAATAAAATTGTCTCAATTTACCATTCGGTGAAAGTCGACAGTTAAAGAGCTTATATCACTATGTCATAAACTTGTTCTACTACCACTCCCCTTCTTCTTAGACCTTAAAAAACTAGAAGGCTTGGTCTCATTTTTAAAAATGGCATGGCATAGAGAATAACGGCCTGAACAGTCTATTCCGATACTGCCTCAGATGAGGCCACTTCACCCGTCCGTTTTGTTTCATTGTTTCTACTGTCTCCAATTCTTATCGTCAAGTACCCTTATCGCATCGTTATATAGCTTCTCTCCCCTCCTCCTCTCCTCTCCTTGCCTCTTCAATATTGACTCGATCCTTCTAATTGTCTACCCTAGTTTTGATAAGTGAGAATCATGGGAAGTAGGCCCAGCCGATAACAGCTATGATATGGCACTATTAATTATGTTTACATCTAGTAGTCAGAAAAGAGACATTATATTCGTCGTCTTAAATTATAGGCATTAAGAGCCTATATTTAAATTACAATGCCTATATATTGTCGATACAAGCTTCTGTCTTTTAGAAGTTTAAGGCTCGTTATCAAACTTGATGCGATTGAAATAAATGAGGAATGTCGGTCCTAAACTCCAAGTAGCAACAAAAACCCTGGATCAAATAGAATTATATCAACCGCTCCGTCCTTAACAACCCAACAATCTCGTTGGGTTGTTAAGAAATACTACCTGCCGCCAGACAAAAGCTATGTCAAACATCAGCAAATTAGAAACAAATAACACATTGGACTCAATTTATCATTTTAACAGTGATAGATTTGGCAAATAACATATTTTTTGTGACCCGCAAAGGCCTCAAGTCACAATAGCTGGTACACTGATGACCATTGGATAATTCGTGATGAATTTTAAAGATGTGCTGCCTGTCATGAACTTTAAAAAAAATTAATTCCATATTTAAATTTATTAATTTTTTTAAGCAAGTTATTAACTTACAATTAAAAACAATTTGAATGAGAACAAATTTTGCCCGTCAATTAACAGTCAGTTAAAAAAATACCATCCCCGTATTTTTGTGGCATAGTAATAAATTGGCTGGCAATTTAAGGATTTTTGTTGTAATAGGCATATGTCAGTTTAAATCGACGAAAACTATATTTTGTTCGATCTTGTTTCTGGTTGGAAGTTAATAACGGATCCTTTTAAATGAGATACGCAAAATGTTTAATTTAATTAGTTTAATTTTTCCCTCGATTTTGCTTGGCAGACAGTACCAACAGTACACTTTTTAAATAGGCATATACAAACATATTGCGCTACGTAAAGGCTTCGGGCTAGCTGTGTATATAATGAGAGATCGGCCTAATTACATTAGACCTATGATAGAAGATTAGGTCTACCCATTTGCTAAACAATATAACAATAACAATATCTAATAACAATAACATCACCAACAATAACAATCATAACATTTAGCCTAACAATAATAGGCTTAATGACTGTGGAGAACAAAGAGGAAGATGGAGAAGTTATTGACGCTGAATAAAATAAGTAGAATTTCAGTCACCAACTTTGAAGTTAAATAGTTGTCCACAACATTGCGGATGTTGACGTTGTTTGAAGTTAAATTTAAAACACGATACGAATTCAGGTTTCCTGAATTGTCCTTATTTTTCCGCGCAAAAATATTATCTTACTTACGCATGCGCAATAATGGGGTTCATGAAATCGCAGCACGCCGGTAAATCGCAAAAGCTTCGCGCGACGTCCCACCAGTTGTATATAATTTCATAACGATGAAGCAGTATATTTATTATAGATAGCCAATCTTGAATCGTTTAATCGCCTTTAACAGTGCCTCGCTTAGCGTATTGCATTTATCCGGTCGTGTTTATTTACAATCTAGATCCATCTACTGGCAGTACTACGTAATTAGATATTACCCGTCTCAAGGCAACCGATGCCAAGGGATGTACGGATGTTCCAATGAATAATCACATACAATTATGCCCAACCAAATTCATTGTTCTTACTCCCTATTAAATCAAGTCGCTCACGAGTTACAAAATGTTACAAGCGCGACAACGCGGACTGTGATTTGTTCTTAATACATCCAATTGGTAGATTAGCTACGATATTACTCGTGGTAATACTAGTAGGCATTCAATAGTACCTGCTGTGTTCTGAAGTATCCGCAATTTATCATTATTTAAATAATATACTGGTCGCATTTGATCAGTGCTTTTATATATATTTTCTACGCCATGATAAATGGTTCTGAAGTGATAAAGTGCCTCAACATCATCGCGCCAACTATGTAACGCGTGCGCTTCTTCCTAATACAAGCTCGGCACGTTCCGCCGATGCAAATTTTTAGTCAATTATTAATTGTTTTGTTTAGTTAATCCGAATTTGTTGTTTTGAATGCACTGTCATTTGACCTGTGCCACTGTTATAAAAGTATACGTTCCAATAAAC